TGTATTGCTTTCACCCCATTTCACACAGCGAAGCACATGTTTTGTTGCGTCGTTGATTAACCATGGACTCTACCATTCCATATGGGCTATTAATTTTATAATAATTATGTTATTTTACTACAGGGATTTTAATTTCATTTATAAAACGCCCTGGTAATGTATAAAAGTAGTTTTCAATTGTTGATACGCCACGGCGTATCAAGTGGACTTGGAACGTCTTCCTTGCAGTGTGCTGCATCGCTGGCTGGAAGTTTAGGGCCTGTGGTTTTGACATGCTCTATGTTCTATCAAAGTAAAAGTTAGACGCTTGACTCTGGTCCTGTACTCAATGGGCTATGGGATATTTACTGAATTACGATCTCTTAACATATTATCATTATTTCATTCTTTAAATTGCTTTTTTTATCCATTGATTTATTGTCTATAATTTGTTCCGATATTAAATAGTCGGGAATAACCTTGCATTTAAAATATATTATGGTAGGCCTATATATCAAAAATAAGTGTACAATAGGCCTACTATTTGTAGTCCTATTCATAAGTTCAGTGACCGCCAATAAATACTCAACATATACGATGAATATCAGAATTTAGTGCAGTAGGCTAAGCTAGGGTGGCATTATTTTTTCCCAATTTATTTTCATTCATTCTCTGTACTGTAGGTCATTTTGAAAACAGACATTGGGCCTGGGTGTAGAGGAATGGCGTTTTCGGATACGGTAGCCATTTTTTGGCCTAAATTATTATTGTTCAGCTTCCAAAACAAAAAAAAACAAAACAAAAAAAAAACACTAAAATAAATGTATTGTGTTTAGATCAGATTATCATACAAGCATACACAAGCGACTGCACACACACAGTAGATCTTGATCACTAATTAGGCCTATGTTCATGTAATAAACTGTTTACGCTAATTAACTTTAATTTATGTTCTACTGAATGAGCTCTTCTTGTTTGATTTTTAATTTCTGTTCACTTTCTTGTTGTCTTTATTGTAATTAATTTATTTGTATCGTACCAAATCCATTTTCAAATATATATAGCAAATATAAAATATAATTGAAAATGAGACTTAAAGAAAATAATAAATACAAGATTTAATTGCACACAGAAATTCAGAGACTGATATTTTCTTAGTTTATTCTATGCTTTTCCATGGTAACGTCGAGTCGTTATCACAAGGCGCCGTACAAAGGGTACGGCTATGCATAACTCGGCCCGCAGCAAGATCAATGACCCTTAATAGTCAATTTCCATAGCAGCAGAACCGTGGGACTGTTCCTATAAATAGTTCTAGAAGAAGCAGGTACTGGCATTAAATTGCGTTTATCCTGTCACTACGAATTTATTCCTCCATGCTCATGGCAACAACATGAGTTTGGCCTGGTTAACACTGGACGGCGTACAAAGGGTTTGAGCTATGCATAACTCGGCCGGCAGCAAGATCAATGACACGTACACTTTGATTGTCTGTATTTCCATATCAGCAGAGCGGTGGGAATGTTCCTATGAATAGTTCTAGATAAAGCAATATACTGGCATTAAATTGCATTTATCCCGTCAATATTCATGGCAAAAACATGAGTTTGGCCTGATTATAATACAGTATAAAAGTGTATAGGAAATATCAGTGGGTTTCGAGTCTTAATATTCAACATTTCGGTTTTAAATTTTACAGAATAGCTCAATAACAAATGACAGGATATAGTATTAAAATTAATTCATAATAATGAATGAAACTTATGACAAAACATAGAAAAGAGATAATTACAGTACATCAATATCACGAGATAAACCGACGCAAACAAGTAGAACAAAAACGTCGGAAAACAAACCCTAATTCGCGAAATGGAATCGTCCAACATTTTTTATCAGTATCTTGAACCACTCGTCGGCAATGCGAAGAGATTATAATCCCCAACCATGCGTTGTAGACGGGTATACGCGTTGCTTTATTTTGCGAGGCTCCCTTAGGGTATAAAGCACTGGTCACCCATTTTAATTAGGTTATGTTTTATAGAATTATCTTTAATGTCCTATTTTTAGCAAGTTTTAGTTTATTATTTAATCTGAAATTAATTGTTATTCTATTATAGGTACAGTTTCAATTAGGAATATCAGCAGCAATTAGTGCCAAGGCAAAGGGTTTTTTAAAGCTCCTACACCAAAAAAAGATGATAAAGTTCATGCACTTTATGTTAGATGTTGTCATGGTACTAGCCCAAATAAAAAATGCCACAATAGCTGATGTTGCAGTTTCGATCAATGCTGCTTCCAAAAAGAAAGTACAATAATAAATAATAAAAAATAAAACAAAATTATACATTACAACCTAATATTTTTTTTTTTATTAAAATACAAAATATATACCAAATTGGAAAATGAGTGTGTGTACTCTATTATTTTTTTTTTTTTTTTGGTTTCAGACATATGACACCAAAATTGCAAAGCCTTAGACTATTGTCTTGAGTTCAATGGTGAAACCCTTAATGAGGAAGGGAATATTGAAAAATTTATGGATGAACTCCTGAATTCATTGGATGCCAATCTCAATGGCTGATTTTCTGACATGAACGAAGGTATTTTTGATGCAATGAAAATTGTTAGCTTCAAATTCTGGAACAAAGAGGATGGTAATTCAAGACATACAAAACCTTTTTTTTTTTGTAGATTTTGGAGAACAAAAAGGTAGATATTTTATTCAACAATTTAATCAGGTACTAGAACGCAGTGGTGTTGCTATTGATGAGGTGGAACCAGAGTGGGATATACTCAAAGCCATGGTTTGACAAGTACAGTATCAATTTCTCATTTTTGCATATTTGGTGTACAGTATCAATTATATTACTGTACCTCTGTTACATCATATTTTAAGTGCATCATTGTGTTTATTAACTTTCCTGTTTCTCTTTAAAAAAGGTACGAAAACTATGTAAAACAAGCCAACTGGAAGGAGGTTGTGCCCGCAGTCATAACTGAGCTACCCAACATCTGCGCAGGGTTGACCTGATGCTTACCATACCTGCCAGTTCTGCTGATACTGAAAGAGGCTTCAGCAGTATGAAGCAGGTGAAAACTGAACATAGAACAAGGCTGAAAGATGACAGGGTGTCAGATCTGCTGCAGTTATGCTTCAAGCGCCTCCAGTGGAGAATTTTGATCCTATTCCTCCTATCAACTTGTGAAATATCAGTGGCAGTCGTTGAAGGCGATTTGCGAGGGTAGGGGGTGCTGCTGGATATGCCACAACAAATCGTTTTGAGGACTCTAGTAGCAGTGATTCAGATTCTAGTAGTACTAGTAGTTATAGTGATAACAATTATGCCGAACACAACTTGCTTGATTGAGGTTTAATCCTTATGAAGTCCTACACTTAAATTAAATTTCTATGTCTGTGTTCAGTGATGCACATTATATCAAAATAAATGTAAATATGTGAAGTAAACTAATTAAAAATGATATATTTGCTGTGTATAACAAGGACAGTGTGTTTATTTTAATTAATGCAATGTAATACAAAATAGTGTGGCTAGTGAAATGGATTCAGGACCAGTAAAATTGTTAAAGTTCCTGGTCCACTTGGCTAGTAAAAAACAACTCCTGCTAAGGTCAAACAATGGCTGTATTCGATTGGTCGTTCTTCGTTAAACCACGCCTACCTTCGCAGTGGTAAAATCCTACTTATTACGAAGACGTTGAGTCGAATAGAAAACTGGTAAATACTCGACAAAAAAAAATGGCTGCATACAGTAGTTACCGTGATACATGCTGCGTAATCAAGGCTGCTTCGGATTGTGGCAGTATGGATTTTTTTTGTTTTCACCAATTTTTTGAATTCTGTTTAGCCTATTGATTTTTGACTTGTGGGTAAATATTTATAATTTTTATTTTCTTAAATTTAATAAAATTATATTAACACAAATTTTGTTGCTAAACTGACCAATCGGCCATATTTTTTTGGTCACGTGCATAACACATTCTGGTTACGATAACAATAATATCAGATCAAAATTCTCCGAATTGGAAAGTTTACCAGTATAAACTACTCTCTGCTCTCCTCCACTATAGGGGAAAATGTAGGTCGTACGTAGGCCTAAATGACATCGAAATTCGAACATACTGAATGCCCACTAGGTTACCTAGCTAGCAAACTAAACACAGTTTTAAAACATGATCGATTTAATAATGCAGGATATAACAAAACAATAAAGTTCTAACATTGTTTATTAGTAAATTGCAACATTGCTCACGTGTTGAAAGCTGGTAAACTATATTTCAGTATTGTTTACGCATTGTTTATCAGCCTGACGATCCAGCTTACGATCATTGCAAAGCTAATTAAAATAACAATGACCTTCGTAGTGGTTCGTAGCTAGGTTCAAAACGTACCTACGAGCAGATTACGAGAGGTTACGCGCAGATACGAAGCGATAATTTGTGTCTGTACTGTATTTATGTAGTTTGGAATTTCTACAGATATTATCCTCCTGAAGACGATTGAAGCATCTCAACTGAAACGTTGAGACTTTCTCAACTATACCAGTTCTTTTCAGAACTACCTACGTGGTGTACCGCAAGCTTAAACACATGTTATTACTTCGCCATGCAAACCTTCAAACAATACTATGATCAATATACCTTCTATTGTTTATTGGAAAATGTATAGTCAACATTCTGTTCAAAAGCAAAGTTACAGATAAAGTAATCATTATCACAAGTGAAGTCGTACAGAAGCATACTATTGGAATTAAAAGGGTGTCATTTAAACCAATTACAGTTAATTTATTAAGAGTGTGGAAGAGAGGCGGTAAAATCACCTACAATCATTATGGGACTTGATTCACAATTATCAATATTAATCTGAAGAACATCAAGAATCTCCGCATAAAGTTGAACCTGATCAATGCAATTGTCAAAGTGGGGTAAGATTACTCCAAAGATTGTCATCATAATATTTCCATTATTAATTATTTGAAGTGCATTAACTTTATCGTGTTCTATGGCGATCTTCTAAAAAACATGGTTTTTACCTATTTTTGCCCAAAAACATGATTTTAAAGAATTTCTCAGTAAGTATTAGTTCTCATGGAAAAAGTTGTATTAGAGCAAATATAAATGTATGTCTTCTGAACAATTTGATTTCTATAGACTTAAGTGTTGCAGAGATATGACAATTTCATATTTTTGCCCAAAAACATGATTTTTATGAAAAATCACATTAAGCATTGGGTTTCATGCAAAAAGTTGTATTAGAGCAAATATAAATATGTGTTCTGAGCAATTTGGCAAGAAAATTACCTCAATAAAAATATTAAAATTGGGGTCAAAGGTCACAGAGGTCTAATCATATTTCCTGTAACTTGGTTTTGGTATCCCCACATCATGCCATATTGTATCACCATGCAAAAGGACAAATGTGTATCCACTAGTGTAACAACCTTCCATTTTGTGTAGGCTTATTAAATTTACCTTTATTATTTCACTTGTTTTGATTTATTAGATTTTAACAGAATATATTAAATTTGCAATCACTCATTGCTAGAAAATAAATCAAGAGATCTCAACTTACTTGGTGAATCCATTGACAATTATGGGCTTTATGCAGGACAAGATCCAAACTGGCAGGCAAAATATCTGGCAAGGTTGAGGCTCTAATGATTGAGGACCACCACCACTAATTAATATCAATTTTGATACCTGATTGCTTCTTTCACAGGCCACCTTTGTACAGAATGAACACCTGTACAAAAAAGTACATTTAAAGTTATGACCAAATCTCTATATATCATATTTTCTGTTGATTTCAATGAATGCTGGCACATTTTAATCACCTGATATTGATATTGAAGTTTTTTTAAGCACAGTACTGTATCCCCACTACTTTTTTTATACAGATCAACAGATCAATTATGCTTAATTTACAAAATTTACAAGATAATTATGCAATTCTTTCAAATAATTTATATTGATGTCTGTACAGTAGAACCCCTCATTTACGTACGGCACGGGCCCAGAGCCGTTCGTAAATTCGGGTATTCGTAAAATCGGGGTTGACCCTGTCTCTTATACACATCTCAGTTTCGATCAATGCTGCTTCCAAAAAGAAAGTACAATAATAAATAATAAGGTGTGTTGTGCTGTATGCATGGTAATAACAGGCACAATTCGAGCGAGTTTTTTTTTTTTTTTTTAATCTTTCGCTTCAATTTTTATGACGTCATCACCTTTATATTTCGTTCGTAAAATCGGGAATTCGTAAAATCGGGGTTCGTAAATGAGGGGTTCTACTGTACTTTGATTATTGGATTTATTCGGTGTAAACACCAAGGAGAGCCCTCGAAAGTCTAGAAGACATATTTCTAGTGAGGTCCTTCTGGTGGTGATTGGACAGTACACTGGGAGACAATCCCCCACTCTTTTCCGAAGAGTGTACTGCGTTCTTTAACATGCACATGGGCCATAGATGCATACAGGACCAACGGCTTAAACGTCTCATCCAAAAGACGGTGCGCTATTGTAACTTGTATTTCAGCCCTCTAGCTGAAACACGAGAGGCAGCGATGGGAATTGAACCGGGGACCTAGAGATCTATACGGTTCAGCGCACACACAGTGGCTACCACCAGATTAGCTGACTGAGCTAAGCTGCTCTCTTAATCATTGGATTACACTACACACTTTTGCTAATTTTTTTAAATAATTTCTTAGGGTAAACAAGCAATAATCATTCAATATTAAAAGCTATAAAGCAAATTACTTACCCATAAGAATGCCCCACAAGTATATTTTTCTCTTTGGCAAATTTATCAAACAATGCAAGCACATCATTTGCTATTTCTGTAAATGTGTAAGCTTTCCTAGGCCTTGGGGCACTGCTCAATCCATGACCAAGTAAGTCCGGAACTACAATCTCATAGTCTCCTTGATAGAAATACTCAATTTGATGCTGCCATAGTTTTGAGGAGCCTCCAACACCATGAATAAAGAATATAACATTACGTGTTGGTGATGTTCCACTTACTATTGGTGAGGTCTCAACTTCATGGATTTCTGAAGATTTTACAATTTTGTCTATAACAATATTTTCTGACACACATTGATTGCATTTTACAGGAACTTGGGAGGTATTGCTATCAACATACAAACTATTTACATTCTTGAGTACACAAGAAGGCCTTCTTTCACCCTTAACTATATGCTGCACCATTATGTTGCGTCCCTCTCTGATTTTGATGTTTAATATATCACCATGGATAGAGTATGCTGGATGTACATGATTGTGCCATCTGTGTCGCTGTTTGCATTCATGTTTGTCTTGAATCATGGCTCGGATCAGTCATCACAGACGTGATAGGCCTCAAAGCAATTAAAATCTGTAACAAATATAGAAAAATATACATTATTTGATTTTAGATTTTGAAAAATTAACAATTGTATGAGGGTTTACATCCACAATAACAGTGGCGGATTCAAGGGGGAGGGGCACCCGGCCTCGCCCTGCCCCCCCCCCAAAAATTGAAAAAAAAAAGAAAATTATTTTAAATTTCAATTCAAGATTAAGCGTGCTATTTCCAGCCATCTAGAATTGCTATAATCATAAATTTTCGTTGACCCTCTATCTATACTGCTGATGTGCAGTTAACTCGTACTGCAGGAGCACAAATCAGCATATGCACGGCTAAATGTAAATACGCACACAGTACTCTGATCATTATCACTATAACTGCTACAGCAGTTGGTTGGTTGGCGATTGACTTGGTCGCGCATTGTGACAATCGCCCTATTCTTTATAATGGGAATATTGAATGATGCTGTGTTTTGATAATTTTTTTATCAATTGAACTTTCAAAAAAGACTCTTTTTGGTTATAAAGTGGGGTAGTTATGTTTGTTGATTAAAAATCAATTAGGAATCTCATCATTTGAAAGCCTATCTTATTGAGATTTAAAAACAGGTGTTATATTTTCAATTACGTATTTCCCTTTCGAATTATGCAACTTTGACCCACGATATATTTTTCACCTCTTTTTTCAAGTTTTTTTGCATTTAATTTAAATATGAATCATTTAATCATTTTAAAACATGTTTGATTGGATACCTTATAATGTGGGCTTTCCAAATATGTATACATTTACTACCTTCTGGTAAATACCCTTAAAGTTATATGAAATTTAGTGTTCCATGTCAAAAAACGATAGAAAAACATGGTGTGACGCAAAATGATTCGATCGCACAACACACGACCACTTATAAAGCAATTAGTAGAGCGTGCATCGTACACTAACAGAAAATTATTACACTAAAGCTCTGTCTACACTATCAAATTTTGTGTGACAAAAAAGTGTGATATGCCCATATATGGGCATGATGACATAACAGCATGACCATATATAGGCATAGCATTACTATATATGGGCTTGTCACATTTTTTTTGTCAAAGAAAATTTGATAGTGTGGATAGAGCTTTACAGTAGGTTAGATTTAATGCATTCAGAAATATTCTTTGGGCCTTGTATATAAGGGTAGATATAATCTACACTTCATATAATAATCTTCCTATAGTGTACTACTGTATGCGGAGCTCTACTATTGTTTAATATTTTTTCATTCATTATGTGTGTAATTACAGCCATCAAAATCAATAATATGTTATTTTTGCACTTTGCGCCCATTAAAACTCTTTGGTGTAGAAGTTTGAAAAGAAGTTAAACGATATGGTCGTAAATCGTGTTGGTCCGCTGTAGTTCATTTTTTTACCTTGTTTTGTTTTGGTCACAGTTTTGCTTGTCTGCATGCTTAATACTTAACACATTTCAAAGAAATTACTGTACTGACCCCTTTATTTTCTTGTAATAGAACAACTATTGTAGGAACTAATACCCCAATAATATGGAATATTTAAAACTAATAAATCAGTCTTGTGCTTCATTAAGGCCCAAATCTAGGCCATATAAATGATATCAATACCGTATATTTTATTTGTATTCCTTTTTATCATAAATAATTCAAGTTTAAAAAAAAAGAAAACAATTAGGCTGCTAATTAGTTGGTCGTTGGAATCCACCTTGCTACAGTCAGATAGCACTCACATAGGGGCTACGATAGAAATGGTATCAATATGGCCAAAATCTGTCCGCGGGAAATTCAAGCTAAACTGGGTGCTAAGCAGCCCTTTGCTAAGCCTACCGACTCATTATAATCAGGAGCCAGTCAATATTGCACCCTCTCTGGCACTATTGAGTGGCCTTTTTCCTGTTGTCTTTTAGGGCACAGTATGATTTTGGTAAATAGTAGTTCAAGTCCATAAGAATTTTCAGTAAAATAGGTAGCGCAAGTGTCTCATGTCTTGAAGTGGCTGCGGCACCCCCCTGTTTGGTTGGTATGCAAGTGAGCTCCCCGGAAATACAATGTAGAGTGGTTGTTTTTGCTTCAATTATTGAATGCCGTGTTTTACATACTGGTACTGGTACTTGTAGCCGTCTGATTTCAGACATTCGGCAGCCAATGACATTATGTTGGCGTTAAAAGACTGCATATTGTGATGAGGGACCTGTGTACAAACAATTACCAAATACAAAAAAATATGGAAAACTGAATGCTATTTCCAAAATATTCTAATTAATACCACCATTTTTTTTTTTTTAAATAGCAAATTATAGCAAATAATTAGGCCCTCATCAGAAAAAAAAAAATTCTGCCATTTTTTTTTTTTTTTAAAATTTCTGCCATTTTTTTTTTTTTTATAAATAGCAAATTATAGCAAATAATTAGGCCCTCATCAAAAAAAAATTTTCAAATTCCAGACGTGAAACTAATAATAAATTTTATTTGGCCTAAAACACTGATGACAGTGACAGGGGTTTCAAAAGCTGCCAGCGCGCGACGGAATCCACCGTGTACATCGCACATGTGCGTCGCCTACTTTTTCTTTGAAAAAAAAATATAGGCTACCCATACAGAGATTGTGTGGTTGTCCTCATGGTACACAGCGATACATGACTAGGCCTAGATATATTTACATTTACTCAAAACTTACTTTACATTTACATTTACTCAAATCATAGCAATTGTCTAATTCTTGTTTATTTTAAAATCTGATGTGACACTGATGATGATAATTTATCTGTTTGATTGGCGATCTCGCCGCACTTGTTGCTAAAACAATATTGTGTTGACAGATCTCTCACTCATCGTCACCTCTGACACTTAACTGACCTCATGATAATAAAACTGAGCCTAAACAGGCTGTTAAACGGTTTCCAATTGGATCGTTTTACTCTGTCCAACCAAATCTTTTGTTTATGAAAAGTTATAGTCGGAGATCGCGGAAAATGACACTGAAGTTGTGAAGCAAGAAAAAAAATGGGTTTTTTTTCTCAAAAAAGGGTAAGTATTTTAATGAACATGTGATGGTAGTGAATTAACAAAACAGCTAAAATGATTCATCAGTCTGATCATGAATGACGATTGATGGGCCTCTGGAAAGGCCCACAAGGTTTTGCTCACTCACTAGACCTCTACTAGGCTATCCCCGGTATTCTTAAAACGAACTTTAGTCGTAGTTCGAGCTATAACTTTAAAATTACATCACTTCGTATTCTTAAAACGAACTTCGACTAGCACTACGACTAAATGACGTGAACCTCGACTAAAATTATACCTCCGCAGGCCGATTTTTTTAGTCAGCCTAGGGTCAGGCAAATCGCAGACTTGAAAAATTTACCCCACTAAAAACGTGTTTTTTGTAACTCACGATAAAGTGAAACGAATAAAAACGATTGTATACGCAGGTTTGATATATCTTCGGTGTGTTAAACAAAAGAGACATCAAGTTTAGCTTCTAGAAGGAGAAATTAACATGTTTTGCTGGCCACACGAAATCTCCTCGCGTTACGATCACGTAGCTTCACAATAACAACAACAAAGATGGCGCCGCCCTCGCTCGGGCTCAACTATAGTTCTCCAAAGAAAGCAAATTTTCAGTGTCTATTCAAATTCTCTGTAATATGTTAACAACTAATATAGTTAATTATAGAAAATTAATTAAGGGAATGATGGTCTATTATGAATTATGAGGAAATAGTTTTTGAACCACAGACGGCAGCTTAATATTCATCCGTGTTACCGGATCTCTAAACTTTCGTCTGCTAATAAAGCCCTTTTCATTGGTTAGTTTGATAGTCGTGGATTGCCAGTCGTCTTCAGTTGAACTAAAACTAGGACTTGATTTAGTCGTAGTTAAAACTTCGACTACATTGTTTATGAATACAAATTGAAGTTAAAGATGCAAGTAGCACTAAATGAAGTTCTAGTTTGAAGTTCGACTAAAGTTTGTTTTAAGAATATGGGCGTATATCTATTTTCACTAGGCCTAGCGCCTAAAAGAAGAGGCTAGCTATAGAGTGAAAATACAAAGTATAAGATAGTACAGTCTAGTTAGGATACGCGATCCGTCCGGTTCCAGAAATTAATCATCGTGGATAGCCTACACATTGTTTACTTAAAAGGATTATTTCACCATACATAGACCTAGTAAATTGTACTTAATAAAACTTATGATAGATTTAAGCAAAACAAAATAACAAACAACATGTCACGTGACAGGGGCCGACTGACAAATTAATTGTAATTTAACTCCTGGCCTATCTTAAGGCTTGTCTACAGTTACCAGAAGAAGTACTACTGTAATTCCTACTGGTATATGCTATTTTTTAAAGCTTTAAAAAAATCATTAATTTTTTTCCAGATGATGATTTCAGCTGAAGACCATGTTGAAGACCTATTGGCTGAGGGCAATTGAGTATGTTGAATGTTAATTACTGATACTTATGTAGGATTGTTCTTTTCAATTATTAAATTAAATTATATAAGATTACATATTGCAATGATTTGATTATTATAATATACAATCATAATAATAATAATTATTATAATAATATTATATTATTATTATAATTATTATTATTATAATAATTATTATTATAATAATTATTATTATAATAATTAAATTGTATCATAAGTTTTTCACTCGATTATAGATTTGTCCAAAAATATATTTAGTGATGTTTTTATTTATTTGTTTTATATTGTTATTTTTCAGATTCCAACTCATGATAAGGTTGTAGCTGATTATATCCAGGAGCAACCACACAAATGATATTCAAACAAGTAGCTTTATATACAGTACTTCTATTTATTATTTTCCACAGTATGTGAAACAGTAATCCAGGCCTGTATACTACAATAAATACCTACCTTGCAGAAACGAAATGTTTTACTGTACTTCAGTAATGTCATGATACTGTATCAGTCATTTTGGATTTTTTTTATAATAAATTCACTTATTACAAATTATTACTTTAGTATATGTCTGCTATATTAGTACAGTGTGGTACAACTCGACATTATGACCAGCAGAATAAAACCAAAAAATCTTACAAAACAACATTATTTTGTTTAATAAAATATATTTATAAACAGAGCTCCAAGAATGCAGGAGAGGCCATTTCTTGGCATCTAGATTTAAAAAATTTCCAGACCACGCCCGCCCCCCCCCACCCACTCGGAACTTTGATGATAAATGGTGCGCCTGCTACTTTTCAGATTCAGCCTCCTACTTTCAAAACTTTTGAAATCCCTGAGCGAGCGCTCATCGATTGAAAGCAAGGAAAAAGACACCACTATCGGCGCTCCATACTACCTAGGGTAAGTCGGTAATATTCAACCTACGTTAGTTTTCAACTTCCAAATTTAATAACGAATTTTTAATTATCCATTTCTATGTCACTGGTAAAATTATATCATTTTACGATGTAAACAGTGTGAAGCACTGACCCTCGAACAAAAACTGTCTGCAAAAAAAATTTTTCAAATTATAAATTCAAATTTTTATGAAATATTAAATTTACATGGAATAATAAGAATATGGTGTCATATTACATCTAAAATTAATTACCTTAGAGTGGAAAAATTTATCCCAAGTTTACATTTATTCGAAAGAAAATTCAAGTCTAAAAACGTTGAGATCGAAAAATGGCCACCGTCATGTGGCATACAGTAGCAAATAAGAAAAGAGTGTGGTTAGGTCACAGGGCAAAGGTTGGGGTTATTATTTCATCATCCTATTCTTAATTACTATGAAATTATAGAGGGCGTCCTAAAAACAAGATGGCGAAGTAGCCATTTTTCGCTACTTTTGTAAGACATGCGACCACAAACTGGTCTAATTTTGTACACTTTCATTATATTAAAAGGGTAGTTTACTGTAAGAAAGTTTCAAATTAACTATTACTTAACATTTTTATTATCATTATGCGAATAAATTTGTATTTCCAAGATATGGAAATTACGAAAATAGCACTGACTGTCGAAAACTAACGGCCAAAAACTGGGCGAAGGCCTCCAAGGGGAGACAAAAACTAGCGTAAAATCGGCGAAAGGATGATTACATTTTACAGGCTGGATGGAATTTAATTTTATGAATTTGCAGTTGGAAGGTACGAGTTATATATTTATGCATCTGTTAAAATTAGATTCCTGTAAAGTCATTGTCCAAAAGTCCGAAAATCACGTTGTTTTAACCGTTAGGGTCATACCACAGGCCTAGGCTAGGCCCTAGGCCTAATCCCTAGGCCTAGGATAGCCTAGGCATAGGATAGCTTAGGCCTATATTGATACAATCATTTCGGTTTGTGCCTTTGCTTTTAGTTCTAACAACTTCCTTTTATTAGGCCTAGGCCTAAGTTTAAGTTATGTGGATGTTTAACTTTATGTTAGTTTAGGCCAAGGCCTTGTAGACTATTAGGCCCTACCACCAGGCCTGTCATAAAACTAAAAGGCCTACCGACCACAAAAGCTAAGACCTATGACCACAAGTATCAGACCCACTCGAAATATCAGTCCGCAAGTCCGGGCCCCGCAAATTAAGACCCTCAACTAAGTATGCCAGGATTTCTAGACAATAATACCTTTATTCGAAAGCTAACGTCAATATAAAGAACTGACTAATCATAAAATAAACACAATTAAGTATCATCGATACCCCCAGCTAGGCCCCTATTTGCAATGTTTACTGGAGAAAACAAATACAGTACAAACAAACCGGCAATTCGCACTCCACGGAACCATACGGTATGGTTTCGGTACCTTTTCGATAGCCGTTTCTAATGTACATCTATCATACGAATACTTTATCTAATATTATGGTTCTCGATCGTTCTCACTCTTTTTACATGCACCTTACCTTTCTATACTTCTTTTTTGATTTATATTCGGTTTCAAAACATTATATAATAAAAAAGATCAAATTACTAAAAGCATAGAACATGAAAGCAGGACCAGTGGCGGATCCAGCAAAGGTTGGGGGAGGGGGCATAAGGGCCCCTTCCCCCCCCCCCCCCCCCAAAGTCAGTCCAGCCGAAAATTTTTAGTTAATAAAAGAGGAAAAATTGTACCAATGAGTTCAGTGGTGATCCTGCAGTGGAATGAAAGAATAGCTTGATTATTTCCCACTTATTTACACCAACCATGGTGGGGCTAAGGTGGGCGTGGCGGCGAGAATTTCTCCCACACTCCGTCAGAAAATCCCTGAATCAGCCACAGAGGACTTGGACATGGCACTTAGAGACCTTGTTTATTTGCACCTTATAAATCGACCTATTATATTATCATTATTATTATTATTATTATTACTATTATTATTATTATTATTATTATTATATTATTATTATTATTATTAATATTATTATTATTAATATTATTATTATCGAGAATGATCAAGAATCATAATACAGTATATAGGCCTATCAGATATTCGCATGATGTGCATTTGAAACCGCTATCAAAACCGTACGGTTCCGTGGAGTAGCCTGTGTATACACTAAAAACGGTTTGTTTGTACTGTGTTTGTTTTCTCCAGTAAACTTCGCAAATAGGGGCCTAGGCCTAGATGGTACATGGAGTTATAATTATCAAAATAATTATAACTCCATGGCTTGTATCGATAATACTCACTGGTGTTTATTTCATGGTTAGTCAGTTCTAGGCTATATATTGATGTTAGCTTTCGAAAAAAGCTATTATTGTCTGGAAATCTGACCTGGCATACTAAGTTGAGGCAGGTTGAGGGTCTTAATTTGTGGGGTCTGATATTTCGAGTAGGTCTCATATCTCGTGATCTTAGCTTTCGTGGTCTGAGCTTTCGGGACAGCCCTAACCTGGGCCTAGGCCCTACTAGAACTACTACTACTAGGCCTAGGGGCCTAGGCCCTGCCTTAGCCTAAAAATATATATTCTACTATTTACTACACTGTAGCCTGGGTGCAGGTCAACTCGGCCACAAGTCAACTCAACCAAAAGTCAACTCGGCCACAAGTCAACTCGGCCACAAGTCAACTTGGCCACAAGTCAACTCGGCCACAAAAAGTTCGGCTACAGCCAACTCGGCCACAAGTCAACTCGGCCACAAGTTATTTATAATTAAAATGAAATGTAAAATGTTTTTGCATCTTTTTTCTTCAATATGATTGAAATGAAGTATATAGCATATTATTTTAGTAAAATTCTGATCATCGTCATCGTGAGATCGTTGTATTCTTTTCTTCACATTGTACTCTTATTCAACAGAGAAAATCCGCCACTTACAAAATGGAATAAAATCTGACAATATTATGTAACATTAACAATTTAAGCAATCTTAATAATTAAGAAAAACACATAGGCCTATATTTTAATTTAAAAAATGATAAATCGATATTTGCAAAATAATTTAGATATCCAAAATGACAGTACTAACACCGAAACAATAACTTTTGAAAAACAAAATAGATGAAAAAGGTTGATGAAATTTAAGGGAAAACCCACGACAAAAACTGTAGTAATAAGAATATTCATATTCGTAACAATGAATACAGCAGTAGGGCATAGAAATAAAAATTGCCACTGAAAATTTATAAAAACCGAAAGGTCTGCTGATTAATCTCAAAACAGTATAGGCCTAGGCCTACATACTGAGTACTCCAAGTATTAAAATAGGCTACAATTCGACATTAATTAGGCCTAGGCCTAGGCCCTCATCATCGGTACGGTAGCAGGCTGGTTTCTCCCAAACATTTCGTTCCAGTGTCATTTTCGACAGAACGATTTCTCCTGACTTTTGCCACCTTTTCATTTTACTTATTGTCATCCACGTATCATATAGACATTAATATTCCAACATGGTTAGTGGAGCTTACTCTTAGGCATTGCCATTGCCCATAGGCCTATCTCCTTTTAGTTATTACTTACGGAGTAGGCCCTAGGCCTAAATATAATGATTATTACAAGAAAATCTTACTGACGTCGTCTGTTCGTCTTCTGTTTACTCACAACATTCTACTTTTATCGTGGGCGGCTGACTGACATAAATTATATACCATAAAAATCAATAAAACTCTCTATTAGCCAGGCTGTTTTCAGCTGCATTCACACATGGAGTTATAATTATTCACATGACACGGACTGTTTGTTTCACAACAAAATGGCGCCACACGTAGCAACAAATCGACTAGGCCTAGTTAATGAATTATTCATATAGGCAAAGATACTAGAAACAGAGAAGATAGAGCACTCGCCAAGTAAAAATGAGGGTAAGCGTTATTATGGGCACCAGTTCCGTCAGGTCATGAATAATTAATGACGATCGTATATATAAATATTCATACAAGACACGCTACACATCACACACGCCGAAACAAAGGCGACGCCGTGTGTGGAGTGAGACCGATTGAAGATAGGGCCTAAGTTTGGAAAAACAAAAACATCGGTTTCATAAACATTTAGGGCAGGCCAAAATATTATTATATAAGGGCTTTTGCTAGCCTAGGTAGAGGTAAAGCCCTAGGGTCTAGTCTAGTCAGTTCTTCATCTAGCCTACCTATTGTACTCTAGGCTCTAGCTAGACCTAGCCTTGCTTGGGTGGTACTACGTGACGGTGGGCCTAGGTCTAGGAGGCTAAGTGGTGCAAGGCCTGCGGCAGTCTTATCCAGTCTGCGAATGTCACCCTTAATTTTGTACAGTTTATTAGCTAATTCTGGCACTAATTTAACAGGTGTTATGTTAGCGCATTAAGTTGTATATTTCTTTTTTAAGGGCTGAGGCATGTCTGTCTCTTATACACATCTAGATGTGTATAAGAGACAGGTGTGATGGAGATGATTTCTTGATGTTTTCTTTTCTCAGAAACAGCTATAAATAAAAATGACATGTTGTTAGAAACCTGTTTGTTCAATGTGCATTATCCTATATTTAAATAATACAATCTATCTTTTAATTCCACTAAGATTCACATCTATATGTATATCATCATCTCCGTCACAAAGAGTGTGATGGAGATGATTCTTGCAAAATTTGCTATGTTACAGCACTGAAAATTGAATGCTTAAATAAACGTTTAAAATGCCCTAATTATCGTGCCGAATGTTTATTATAGTTGTTATATGGCATAATGATGACATGTGTAATAAAAGAATTACAAATTTTAAACTTTTTTTTTCATGATTGCTAAACCTCTAAAATGGCACATTAGCGAAGAATGACCCAAATGTGTTTAGCAGTAATCAATGAATATTGGCACTAATGTACTAAGATTAATTGATTATAGATAGCTTGGGCACTGCTTTTTAGTAACTTGGGCACCAGTTAAGTGTGTTTTGTAATAATCAATTAATGTTAGCTAATTCTGGCAATATTTGCTAAAATAAATTGATAAATGGATTATAGATAACTTGGGCACTAATTTAGTAAGTTGGGCACCAGGTAAGTGTGTTTAGTAGTAATCAATTAATATTAGCTTACTCTGGCACTAATTTACGAAAATATATTGATAATAAAATTTTTTGATTATAGATAACTTGTGCACTAAATTAGTATAGTTGGGCACCAGTTAAGTGTGTTTAGTAATAATCAATGAATATTGGCTAATTCTGGCACTAATTTGATAAAATAAATTGATAATTGATTATAGATAACGTGGGCACTACTTTAGTAAGTTGGGCACCAGTTAAGCGTGTTTTGTAATAATCAATTAATGTTAGCTAATTCTTGTACTAATTTGCTAAAATAAATTGATAATAATTGATTATAGATAACATGGGCTCTACTTTAGTAAGTTGGGCACCAGTTAAGTGTGTTTAGTAGTAACCAATGAATATTGACTAACTCTGGCACTAATTTACTAAAATATATTGATAATAATTGATTATATAACTTGGGCACTACTTTAGTAAGTTGGGCACCAGTTAAGTGTGTTCAGTAGTAATCAATTAATATTAGCTAACTCAGGCACTAATTTACTAAAATACATTGATAATAATTGATTATAGATAACCTGGGGACTACTTTAGTAAGTTGGGCACCAGAAGTGTGTTCAGTAGTAATCAATTAATATTAGCTAACTCTGACACTAATTTGTTATATAAATTGATAATAATTGGTTATAGATAACTTGGGCTCTACTTTAATAAGTTGGGCACCAGTTAAGTGTGTTTAGTTGTAATCAATTAATATTAGCTAACTCTGGCACTAATATACTAAAATAAATTAATAATAACTGATTACAGATAACTTGGGCACTACTTAAATAAGTTGGGCACCAGTTAAGTGTGTTTAGTAATAATCAATGGATATTGGCTAATTCTTGCACTAATTTGCTAAAATAAATTGATAATTATAGAAATGTGGGCACTACTTTAGTAAGTTGGGCACCAGTTTAAGCGTGTTTTGTAATAATCAATTAATGTTAGCTAACTCTGGCACTAATTTGCTAAAATAAATTGTTAATAATTGATTATCTGATAACATGGGCTCTACTTTAGTAAGTTGGGCAACAGTTAAGTGTGTTTAGTAGTAACCAATGAATATTGGCTAACTCTGGCACTAATTTACTAAAATATATTGATAATAATTGATTTATTTATAGATAACTTGGGCACTACTGATATATGTTGGGCACCAGTTAAGTGTGTTCAGTAGTAATCAATTAATATTAGCTAACTCTGACACTAATTTGTTATATAAATTGATAATAATTGGTTATAGATAACGTGGGCTCTACTTTAATAAGTTGGGCACCAGTTAAGTGTGTTTAGTAGTATTCAATTAATATTTGCTAACTCTGGCACTAATTTACTAAAATAAATTAATATTAATTGATTATAGATAACTTGGGCACTAATTTAGTAAGTTGGGCACCAGTTAAGTGTGTTTAGTAGTAATCAATGAATATTCGCTAACTCTGGCACTTACAAAAATATATTGATAATAATTGATTATAGATAGCTTGGGCACTACTTTAGTAAGTTGGGCACCAGTTAAGTGTGTTTAGTAGTAATCAATTAATATGAGCTAACTTTGGCACTAATTTACTAAAATATATTGATAATAATTGATTATAGATAACTTGGGCACTTCTTTAGTAAGTTGGGCACTACTTAAGTGTGTTTAGTAGTAATCAATGAATATTGGCTAACTCTGGTACTAAGTTACTAAAATAAATTGATAATAATTGATTATAGATTCCATGGGCACTACTTTAGTAAGTGGGCAACAGTTAAGTGTGTTTAGTAGTAATCAGTTAATATTAGCTAACTCTGGCACTAATTTACTAAAATACATTATTAATAATTGATTATAGATAACTTGCACACTACATTAGTAAGTTGGGCACCAAAAAAGTGTGTTTAGCAGTAATCAATGAATATTGGCTAATTATTGGCGGATCTTGGGTGGGGGGGACACGGTGAATAGGGTGGAAAGCCACCTCATCCCTTTGTTTACCGTAAAAACCAATAATGGTCACTTGTCTTGTGTGTGCTTCTCATGTACTCTGATAAAACATACCATCTCTATATTAAGCTTACAGTACTTATTTTCAGGTACACCCTCTCAAAGGCACCACCCCACTGCTTGTTCCTTCTCACCTCCCATTATTCCCCCTCCATTGCGAAATCCCAGATCTACCACTGCATCTCTCTCACTCTGTTGTCATGTTGGGTTACAGTTTACACTAGGTATAGACAGCAACCATTGAAAGAAAATGAAACCCTTTTACTAGCTGACCAATCTTTCTAACATTCAGGGTCAGGGTTTTCAACAATACATGAAGACATGAACATGCAAGTTGCTCCGAGTTTACTATGCCCATGTGGAAGTAGGTCAACTCGGCCCAAAGTCAACTCGGCCTCAGTCAACTCGTCCCCAAGTTAACTCGGCCCCAATTTTACTGTATACGAAATAATTAACAAAAGAAATTTTAATGCAAAGCCAAACTGCCAAAATTAAAGTGTTTTAAATCGTTGGCCTTGTTCTTTACATTTACAATAATATAATCAGCAATAATAAAAATTATATCAAAATAATATTAATAAAAAGGAATAACAAAAACGAAATGAACAATGATACTGATTTATAGGCATATATTTACCTATTATATAATGATTTATATACATATGTATATATATTAAAAAAATAAAAATATAAATTTTAAAATATTTAAAAAATATATATGTTAAAATTATATACATATATGTAATGTACAT